CGGGGGCGTTGTCGTTGACGTCGGACACCAGCACTGTTATGTTGTGCTCAGTCTTCAGCCTTGGTGTCCCCAGATCTGTGACGGTGATGGTGATGTTGTACTCGACTCTTTTTTCTCTGTCCAGCGGGCTTTTGGTTACCAGGGTGTAGTAATTCTCCACAGATGGCTTCAGAACGAAGGGGAGGTCATCTGGGATGGAGCACACTGTCTTTGCATTGTTCCCTGAATCTCTGTCTCGAATCCTGAAAACAGCTACGACCGTCTCGGGTGAGTTTTCTTTAATTGGGCTAGTAAATGATGACATGAGCAGTTCTGGTGGGTTATCATTTATATCTGTTACCTGAACCATTACAGTACATTTTCCAGAAAGCCCTCCGCCATCTTTGGCCTGAATAGTTAATGTATAAGTTTGCATTTCCTCATAGTTCAGTGCAGCTTTAAGATGAAGATTGCCGGATGTTGGATTGATTCGAAACGTTTTGAGAATTCTTTCAGTAGCATAAAAAAATGCATAAACTATTTCCCCATTACTTCCAGTATCTAAATCTCTAGCTGATACGGTGACAACCAGGGAGCCAACAGGGCTATTCTCTGGCACCTGCACTTTGTAGAGAGACTGTACAAATTCAGGGATGTTGTCATTTATGTCCAAAACCAGAATGCGTACCAAGGCAGTCCCGGATCTGGCCGGAGAGCCACCATCCAAGGCTGTGAGGGTTAAAGTGAGCTCAGGCACCTCTTCACGATCCAGCACCCTATCCAGAACCAATTCAGGATAGATAATCCCCTCCCCACTATCATGGACAGTAATATGGAAATAGGCATTGGGGCTGATGGTGTAGTTTCTCAGGTTGTTAGTTCCAACATCTGAGTCCTGTGCACTTTCTAGGAGAAATGCTGCCCCTGTAGTGGTACTTTCTAATATTTTCAAGGTAATCTCTCTATCTAGAAATACTGGAGAATGATCGTTGATGTCTCTGACCCATAACTCAGCACGGAAAATCTGAAGAGGCTTTTCCAGTAACAACTGGAAAGGCAGCACACACGGCTCTGTGGGACCGCACAGTTCCTCTCGGTCTAATTTCTCATTTAGACGTAAATGACCAGTAAGCGGGTCAAGTAGTAAAAATCGCATGTTCTGATCTGAAACAATTCTGGGTCCCCTCGCTGACAGTTCCCCCACCCCCAACCCCAGGTCATTTGCTAGGTTGGCCAGAAAGGTGCCTCTCTCTGTTTCCTCTTCCACAAAATACCGAAGCTGTTCCGCACCAGCCCAAGACACTCCCAGAAATACACAAAGAAATAGGACTTGCCTTTTCTGCACAGCACGCACCACTCTGGCCTCCATTCTTCATTTAACCAGTCTTTCAAAAACACTTTCAGCCTCAAGCGACTCTCAGAAGTGACATCAGTGGAATCCTTAGAAATGAGCTGGACAATAGCAATGCTTGTGGGGAGGGATCCCCACTTTCCCCCAACTCCTATTACAGTGGTTTCCTTTCTTCTACTTTACTGGTCTGGCCAGTTTTGCTCTTAACACTGGAATCTGCAACATCCTTTATGCGGTTATTTTTTTCTCTTTTTAGCCAGCAGCGCCACCTTGCGTTTTGTGCATGTTATTCCCGTTTTCAAGAATAGAACAGAAAGATGGCGGATTAAAGGAGAAACTGCAGTAGAAGTGACATTTTTTCCCCCAAGTGCCTTTGCTGTTTCATCTTTTTCCTCAAATGGCCACAGTAGTCCTAGTAAGTAAGCGTTCACATTGTTTTCCTCTTAGTTAGTCTGAATTTGTAGAAAAATAAATCAGTCATTTTCCTTAAGTGCACAGAATTAAACTCTGGCTCCCTACCAGGAGTAAATTGTAAGAAAAAACCTTTTCCTGTTTTTAAGCTTGATAATAAAGAATATATACGGAAATGAAGTCTCCATCAAAAAGTCAACAAATATTGGTTGAGAGCCTTTTATTTGTTTGTAAACTGCCTAACAATAATGCTGCAAAGCAACTGGCCTTTTTTTTCCAGTTTCTTGTATATTAATTAACCCTCCCAGTTTCAAGGTCTTCACTCTTTACCCATGATATTTTTTGGAACACCTTCTACCCCTCAACCTCCACTACTCACTAGATTTAGGCATTATATGTATAAATTAGTGTTCACATATAATTTCAATGACTGGTATTTCCAAGCATATGCAATGAATAATCTTTGAAATTTTTTTTAATTTAAAAAAATTTTTGGAGGGGGAGACCCTTAGGTCTATTTATTTATTTATTATTATTTTTTTTAATGGAAGTACTGGAAATTGAACCCAGGACCTGTGCGTGTTAAGCGTGCGTGCTAAGCATGCTTTCTACCATTTAAGCTATACCCTTCTCCCCGAATACTCTTAAAATTGATAGTAGCAAGCAGGTGTCTTCCTTGCCTTTGTGGAAGTTCTTCTAGTATTTCATCTTTAACTGTGATAGCTGAACTCAGTTTGGGGGTAAGTGCTCCCTTCTTTGGATCAAAAAGTTTTCTTATTTTTCTTCATTCTTTCAAATTTTTAGAGCAATTTTTGACGTACGTTGAAATTGTACTTCTATTCTTTAGCTTTTTAATTCTTGAACTCTTGATATTACATATTACTGTTTTAATGCACAGTTGGATTTGATGAGCCAACACAGTTTTAGAATTTTTCTGGCCCATGTTGCTCTATGTGTATGTGTGTGTGTGTATAGTGTCTGTGATTTTGATATTAAACTATCCTGGTCTCGTAGTATGGGCTAGGAAGCTTTACATCTATTGTTATGCAACATAATATTTCTTTATAATTATCTTTCTACATGCTGTATTATAATTTTCCTTTTAAAACGGGTTGGGTTTGGGTAGTAAATCTATGACTGTATTTTCTACTTTATTTTTGGTTGTTAATCTGTCTGGTTTTGTTTCTTTTTTAAAATTTTTTTATTTATTTACTGTTGTATCATTTTATTTTACTTTATCTTGGATGGGGAGAGGTAATTAGGTTTGTTTATTTTTAGAGGTACCGGGGATTGAACCTAGGACCTCAAGCATGCCAAGCATGTCCTCTACCACTTGAGCTATACCCTCCCCCACTAGGTTTTGTTTCTTTTTAAAGTAATTTATATTTTATTTGAAAAACATTTATTTTATCTGGATTTGCAAATGTTTTGCTATTATATTTTCTTTGCATTATTTATATTTGGTTATGTCTCTATTATTAGTAATATTTAGTATTTTATCTCCTTTTTATTCTTGGGGAGACTTGCAAGATCTGTATTTTTCTGATCTTTTAAAACACACTTTTTCAAAATAATCTATGACCTTGATTCAATATCAAATAGTACAAGGAGTTTTTTTTAAATAAAATACAATAGTTTTCTGCCCTTTCCCTTTCACCTTCCCAATAATGAGGTAACATTGGTTTATAACCTTATTCAAGTTTCATATGTACATTACAGTTTCACTTCTGTATACAGGTGTGTGCCACATGCTCACCATCAAAACTTTAGCTTTTATGTGTCGCCACAGAGTTGACCCCCTTACACATTTCGCCCTACCCCTACCCACCTTCTCTGGTGACCACTGCTCTGTTCTCTGTATCTATGTGTTTGTTTTTGTTTGCTTTGTTTTTCGTTTTGTTCTTGGCTTTTTATATTTCACATATAAGTGAAATCATACAGTATTTGTCTTTCTCCCTCTGACTTATTTCACTTACAATAATACCCTCAACGTCCATCCATGTTGTTGCAAATGGCAAGATTTCATCTTTTTTTATGCTGGTAGTATTCCATTTTGTGTGTGTATACATACAAAATATGTATTATATATCACATCTTCTTTATCCCATTATCTGTTGATGGGTATTTAGGTTGTTTCCATATCTTGGCTATTTTGAATAATGCTGCAATGAACATGGGGGTTCATATATCTTTTTAAATTAGTGTTTTCATTTTCTTCAGATGAATACCCAGAGGTGTAATAGCTGGATCATGTGGTAGTTCTATTCTTAGTTTTTTGAGGAATCTCCATACTGTTTTCCATAGTGGCTGCACAATTGATATTATCAACAGTGTGTGAGGGTTCCCTTTTCTCCACATCATCTTCAACATTTGTTATTTCTTGCCTTTTTGATAATAGCCATTCTCATGGGTGTGAAGTGATATCTCATTGTGGTTTTGATTTGCATTTCCCTAAAATTGGTGCTGGTTGAATATCTTTTCATGTGGCTGTTGGCCACCTGTATGTCTTTTTGGAAAAGTATCTATTCAGATCCTCTACTCATTTTAAAATCAGGTTGTTTTGTCTTTGTTGAGTTCTATGAGTTCTTTATATATTTTCATATTAACCCCTTACTGGATATATGATTTGCAAGTATCTTCTCCCATTTGTTAGGTTGTCCTTTTGCTGTGCAGAAGCTTTTTAGTTTGATGTAATCCCATTTGTTTATTTTTGATTTTGTTTCCCTTGCTTGAGGAGACATATCCAGAAAGGTATTGCTTAGACTGATATCAAAGAGCTTACTGCATATGTTTTCTTCAAGGAGTTTTATGGTTTCAGGTCTTATATTCAAGTCTTTAATCCATTTTGAGTTGATTTTTATGTATGGCATAAGATAGTGGTATAGTTTCATTATTTTGCATATGGCTCTCCAGATTTATCAACATCATTTATAGAAGAAACTATCCTTTCTCCTGTGTTCTTTGCCCCTTTGCTGTAAATTAACTGTTCAAATATGCGTGGGTTTATTTCTGGGCTCTCAATTTCGTTCCATTGATCTGTGTGTCTATTTTTCTGTGAGTACCATGCTGTTTTGCTTATTATAGCTTTAAGCAGCCATTTTCAACTCTTTAGTTATTTCTTCTGCCTCTAATCTGTATTCTGCTGTATTTTGGTTAATTAGTTTTAGACATTATCAGCTGAATCCTTATTATGTTGGATTAGGTTTTAGCTCTTTCATGCCTTCTTTCATTTACAGTTTCCTTGGGATCCTTGTTGTGTACTCATTATATCTTCTTTCTTTTTTCCTTGAAGTTAATAATAACCTTGCCTTTTCATTTACTTTGTTTTCTTTCTATTTATCAGCTATTCTTCCCACACTTCCAATTGCCTCTCAGTACAATTTTCCACATGGTCATTCCCATATCTCCTGAGATATCAATTCTCCTTTAAATTGAGTGGTTGCTCTCTACATCTGCTGTACAGTTTTCATCCTGGACCTTTACTTTGCTCTCATTCTTGGAATTCTCTTTGCCTTTTATTCTGGTTGGGTTTCCTGTTTGAAAGATTTAATTTCTTCCTATTTTTTGGTTTATTCTATAGCTTTAATCAATCACATCCTCCAGTAGTTTCATCTGATTGAAAATATGTCAGGGGACTTGCTGATGATATCCTTCAAAATGCCTGTCTCTTGAGTCATACATCTTCAAACTGGACTAGTTGTTCACTATGCTGGAGACACGTGTCATCCTGGGATCATCCTTCAGTGTCATCTGGAAATTCATTTCACTTGTTCTGCTTTGGATTGTCTCTTTTCTATTTCTTCTGACTTCCTCTCAGATTAATCTTTCATTTTGACAGATATGTTCTGGTAGTTTCCAGAGAAGGGTATATGAGAGTTAAATTTTATTGTGACCTTGAGTGTATTAAATTACCTTTATTTTATCCTCAAACTTGATTGTAAGTTTGACTGATCATAGAGTTTTAGATTGGAAATAAATTTTCCTCAGAATTTTAAAATATTTTGTGAGTGAGTTCCCTAAGCCGATGTGTTAAGAAATCTAAAGCAGATTTTATTTCATATCTTCTATAGGTGACCCATATTTTTATTTCCTGTTGTAGTACTTTGTCATTGTCTCAAGCATTTTAAACTTAAATGCTAATGTATCTTGATTTGAGCTTATTTTCATCCGTTGTACAGGACAATTGGTAAGCCCTTTCATCTAAAAAACTAATTTCCTGTAGCTCTTAGAAACTTTCTATTTCCTTCATTTAATTTACCTTTTTCCTTTTTGC